TGAAAACATTTGATTTACAACGCGGACACGCTGAAATCGCTAACTGACCCATGGAGAATAGAAAATGATTCATTCTTCAAGCGCTCGACCGGCTAAAGCGTGCTGCGAGCATCAGAAGGGAGCTGAACGGTCGTGAAAATTTTTGGTTTATCATGAATCGCTTTTAGCATTTTTAAAAACATTTAAATGCATTCGCAACTTCGTGGAAGCCATTCACGAGCGTGGTTTGTCCAGACTGGCAGGTGTACTGACGAATTCAACCAATCAGCGATCGCCCGGTCATCGTACATTTTGTCACATGGCTTCATTGAAAGCAGTAACTGTTGTAATCGTTTAAAAATACTGTTTCATCGAGATTAACTTAATAAAAAAGAAAAAACAATAGAAATATTCCTTCTTAATAATGAAAATAGAAAGTGTACCGAGTTCCTTTTGTCTTTTTTGTTTTGATGTTCAGTCCTGATCACTTGTCTTTCCGACATCAAATGGCTTCTTTCTATATTATTTATTCTTAACATCTGTTGATGTCCAAATATGAAATGAAAGTCGAAACCAACAATACATATAAGCAATGATGAATACCCAGTAACACGTGCACGCCGATGAAACATGCGTTATAATTTCGATTCTAACTGGTCGCCAGGTTAAATTTCCTTTGCTCATAAATAAATTATCTAGTGACAGCCAATATCAACAAAACCGGAATTTTAACTTTAACCTACGTCTCGATACGTCACTCGGTCGAATTTTAGTACCACTGAAGAGACGTCAAGTTAGTTTATAACCAGATTTCCGCATAACCTAGAACCTAGAGGGAAAACTCTGCAAACAAATGGTAGCACACGCACCAAATAGCAACGGAAAGTTAAGGTTGCGCATGAAACTATGTTGATGCTGTCTTGAATTACATTATGGCACATTTGGGGACCTTGCCTATGAAGCAATTAGGTTGGGTCTGTTCGATAGTCTCCATTCTACAGCATAATGGCGGTCGACCATGTTTACAATAGCTCCCGCTCTTGTAAATGTCTACGCAAGAAAGGATCCAAGAAGAACATCTAGGATAGAGAATTGTTAATGAAAACGAGCAGCTAACTGTGAAACAGCTGTGGACAAGTGAGTTTTTGCCCGCCGTCGAGTCTGAAATTGAAGCGTTGTAAATTATAATGTAATATTTCCATTTCCGCGTTGTAGGGCCTGTTTACATGGAGTGGGGTACCCCGGTCAAGTGGGGTTGGTTTCTTTTGTTTTCACGCTCTGGGGGACACAAAACAAAAGAAACCTACCCCACTAGACCGGGGTCCCCCACTCCATGTAAACAGGCCCTTAATAACTTTTCTTGCCATGTGAATTAGTAAATGAGCAACAGCCATCTCGACAGCTTTGCTACTTTGGCTGTTGCAAACTGATTTAAAAATTGTACATGTTTACTTGGATAATCTATTCTATTTTGTTCTCTATAGTTTCTTATATTTTTTCTCTTTTAATAGTGGTAATAATAATAGTTTGAAGGACCACATTATTTGAGGGATAAGTTCCTAATTATTTCCCATTTTAATCTGAGTGACTCTATTCAGGATTGTCTGTATATTCTTTGGTAACCAAGAGAGGATAAAGGGGACAGAGAAGGCATCCCCCATACACACCCTATTCCATAGGTAATTCGTCTCGAGTTATTTTTAAGACCACAGATCCCAAGGGGCAGCCAATCACATAGCGCGAATGTTTTCCGCGTGGATGACCCACGTTCAGAGCCACGCGTTCTTTAGGAATTGACGCAAAACAAAATGGCGGAAGACGCGGAGAGCGATATTGCTATTCGTTTTATCGACGAAAACGACTACAGAGAGATTTCTACTAAAGCTATGTCAGCGAAACAGAAATTAAAAAAGAATCACCCTTCCTCTCTTGTATAGAGCTAACAGTACAGCAGGGAAATCCTTATCACACTGAATATTCTCTCAGGATCATTCATAATTTACAGTTTCAAGAGAGCAATTTCTGGTTTGATATTTATTCTTTTATTAGTCTTTTATTATTCAAAAAACATAACACTTGGCTTCCTACTTACTTTATTGTACAAACGACCGGTTTTAATAGACCGGCGAAATTTCGCATTTTATTAAAGCACTGAGGTTACGACAACTTCGAGTTAAACTGATTTCACGGGTTTTCAAAGAGTCTAGCGATTCCCTTTTCCCAGGTGAGCGCCGATTCATTTCGCGTCAATATCAGGAATGCACTCGATCTCTTTACGCTTTCATTGCCTTTCGCCGAACATGTTTTGCACGGCGTTTAGTCATGCGAAACCTCCACGGAACATCCACGCAGCGCGCGAGGTAACTTTATCCCGATTCTAAAAATAGCTCAAGACGAATTACCTATGGAATACGGTGTGTATGGTGGATGCCTTCTCTGTCCCCTTTATCCTCTCTTGTTGGTAACTAAATAGACATTGTAATCACGATACCCGCCATCTTTGCACACGCTTTAGGATTGATTAAATAAATTAAGCAACGTCAGGGGGCCGTGAAACAAGTAATCAACTCTGCCAAGAGACTATAAAGAGGACAGAGAGGGCATCCCCCATAAACACCCTATTCCATAGGTAATTCGTCTCGAGTTATTTTTAACACCACAGATCTCAAGGGGGATTAGACAACAACCAATCACATAGCGCGAATGTGTTCCGCGTGGATGACCCACGCTGAGAGCCACGCGTCCTTCACGAAATGACGCAGAACAAAATGGGGGAAGACGCGGAGAGCGATTTTGCTATTCCTTTTGTCGACGAAAACGACTACAGCGAGATTTCTGCGAAAGCTGTGTCAGCGAAACCAAAATTAACAAAGACTCGCCCTTCCTCTCTTGCAAAGAGTTAACAGTAGAGCAGGGAAATCCTTAACACACTGAATATTCTCTCAGGATCATTTATAATTTACAGTTTGAAAAGAGCAATTTCTGGTTTGGTGTTTATTTTTTTCAGTCTTTATAGCGATTATTCCTACCCACTTACTTTGTCAATTGTAGGCGAACCCCCCTAAAGCTGAATTTCAAGGGACCATATTCAAGCTCAGAAAGAAACATCCACCCCTCGCGCGAGGTAACTTTATCCCGATTCTAAAAATAACTCGAGACGAATTACCTATGGAATAGGGTGTATATGGGGGATGCCCTCTCTGTCCCCTTTATAGTCTCTTGACTCTGCCAGTTCGAGAAATCGCTGTCGAGATTGTTTAAAGTTCTCTCAAACATAACGACGCCTCAACGGTCATTTAAAATGTTCCGTTCGAGTTTCGCCAAGTTTTACGTCATTATGGCACTGATCTACGGTCGCTACTGTGTTCAAAAAATGCAAAAAATGATCACTTCCACCCACAACTTGCAATTATCGTCTTAAATATAAAATTTCTCCATTTTCTATTGTCTAGAATAAAAAACCTGAACCGCGATTTCTTGCATTCGTAATTTTTTTAAATGTTTGCCCACTGAGAAACTACGCCACGTTGCTTTTATCCCGTCAGTCGTGTGTCAAAATGGCGAGTATCGTGAATAGCGTCTATTGAACTATGAACGTTACTCGGACAGTGGAATAAACGCTCAAGCTCACGGTTCGAGCTGCCCACCCCGACACTAGCCTGCGAAAACAGCCATCTCTCCGGCCTCGCTCCTCGCCGCTAGGAACGTTTCGCAAGGAGGGACGTCTGCGCCTCAGCGACAGAAATTCCATACTCAGCGGCGGATCCAGGGAAGGGACCCTGGTGCCCCCCTTATTTTTAACTGAGACCCGACGGGAAAACACCGTCCGCCCCTTATGTCAGGGTCTGGAAGGTCTGGATCCGCCACTGATGACGTAAATTAATGTTTACAAGCTTTGCACCCATTCCATTCCCCCAATAAATATAAATAATTCTTAGGAAATAATCACCAATATAAATTATCCTAACAGTAACAATATTTTCGTACACGAGGGTATAAATCATGAAGACAGAAGATCTGGTCTTTATAGGCGTCCAAACGACTGATTTCACCAACTATTGAAGGATTACCTTTTTTCATTCTAACTGATGCTTCGTAAAATCCATCATTTGGAAATGTGACTAATTGTAATTGATATAGGGTATTCAAAACAAGCGTGTTCTTTGATTTGCCTCCATACTCAAGTCCGCAGGAATCGCATATCTCGTCAGGTTTAGATTTCTTGAAAAACTGTAGTGTTTCACTAGGCATATCCCGAAAAGCGCTTTTCACATCTTTCAAAACAAGCTTTTGACACAGTTTTGCTACTTTGGGGTTTTTTGAAAGCAATTTATTCATATGACTCACTACAAACTCCGCCAATTGCCCAATAACAGGTTCATTCACCGAAATTTCCTCTAAATTAAGACAAGGACACCAGTGTTCCTCAACACCTGCCATGGTGCAAGTACGAATTCCCTCGTCGATCCGGTTAAACAGGCTTTGACCGGTTGTAATCCCACTTGGATACTCGGGGTACGAGATAATGTGACGTAGGGTAGCGTACAGATCAAACGGTGTAGTAAGAACACCTGAATTATGTACGAGGTTGCGATAAAGCTTTGGGTACTGTACTGAAAACCATTTTGGTGTTGTGATTGATAGAAATGGAAGCCGTTCCTCAAGTTTTCCTTGAATGGTTTGCCTCAAGGCGGAAAACCGTGGTCCGTGGTCTCCAAAAACGACAAGAAACGTGCTGTTAAGGAATGATTCTTTCTTCAAGTGATGCAGAAGGATCTTAAAATCATCATCTGCATAACCGAGGCTATTAATATTTTCGTGAGTTAAAGGAGCAAGCGAGACAAAAGAGAATTTCGGTGTGTTCCTGTACGCACGAAAATAACTTAGCATATATTCAAATGCAACTTTGTGCAAAGCTCTACCGTTGATGCAAAAATGCTCCCATCCCAAATCGGCCGCTGCCATCCAGAAAGGTCTTGCAAAATGATCTGTTGGGGGATCTTTGAAGCCCTTCAGGCGATAATTGAACGACCCAAAGCGAGGCGAGTCTTCTGAGAACATTGTAACGTATCCGTTTTGCTTGAAATCCTTGAATATCCATCGCCATATGTCAACAGGGCTGGCTGCATTTCCCATATCTTTTTTCGCCTCCGGTTGGTCTTTTTCTGCAATTCCAGTCAAAAGAGCGGCCAGCTGAGCTGTGGTACCATCCCCAACAATTGTTTCGCCTTTAAAATTGGTAACACAGGGTGTTAGAATTTATAATCATTAAAATTTGACGAAATTTGCCAGAAAGTCTTTTCGTATCGCACCTCAGTCAATGAAAGCCTTAAAACATATTTCTTACAAAGAAGTTTTGTGATAATCACGTTTCTCACAAAAAAGCCTGTTTGTTAAGTCGTATTTAAAGAATGAGGGATATTAATTGTAAGCTGTGTGCAAAATCATAACAAAATCTAATGACTGGATTTTGCCTAAGTCAAAAAATTCAAAATTTTAGGCTTGTTCTTTTCAATTACTCAATCACGGCACGGACCAGCACTAGGGTTCTGATTCCTAGGGAGGAGTCCGTGTTATAGATATTTGACTGCGCATAACTGTAAAACTTTTATATAAATGTTGCAAAATTGAAGGTCAATTTTATGTTCTCTTGAAAAGCTACGAGTGTTAACCAGTATGATGTCTTTTTTAGACCTGATCATCTCACCTCGCATCAACAATGAATTCAGATCATCTGTCAAATATTCCAAGCTTTTTGGCATTTTTCTCTTGAAATTAGCCGCGGATGTGGAGTCAAACATGATCAGTGCAATATTCAAAGGAATACCACCAGGTTTCTTTTGCCTTTCAAGCACTTCCTTTTGTGGAAACACGTGCATGTGCACGTCACTCATTGTCCAACCCCATGACGTCACTGCATCGACTTGAATGAAGTCGTGATCCACTTTCGCAAAGCCCGAGAATTTATCTGCAAATAATAAAGATCACTATTTCTCGAAGCCAAGTCCTTGACACTCATGAGTTTTGTAATATAATTTCATATGGGTTTTCCTGGTTGTTCTGGAGTGTTCCGAGGTGTTCCGGTTTCCCGGCTATAGTACATGCCACAAAAAAAGAAACAAAACAAAAAAGCCTTATTTCGTATATTTCGTTCCCTAGCTACCTCGTCTTCAGTGTTTTCCCCACCCACCCCTCCCATTTTCTAAGCGAAAAGCCTTGGACGCGAGGTTGGTTGCTGGTTTTCACTAGCGACGGATTCGGAGTCGGAATCTTAAGCGGAGTCGTAAGAGCGCTTATGACCTTGTGAAAATCAAAAATCGGAGTCGTAAGCGCGACGGAGTCGGAGTGGAAGGAATCAGAGCGTTTCCATTTGCTTCCGACTCTGCTTATGACTCCGTCGTTTACGATCTAATGAAAACCAGATTGTCGGAGTCGGAAGCAGAAGTAGAAGGACAAACCAATCACACACTGCACGTTCCCACACTTTGTGATTGGTTTAGTCCTTCTGCTTCTGCTTAAGACTCTGACAGCCTAGTTTTCACCATATCGTAAACGAAGGAGTCCAAAGCGGAATCAGAGCGCTCTTTCTACTGGATCGTTATGTTATACACTTCTGATTATAACTCCATCGATAGTGAAAACCAGCCTTCATGATTGTCAGAGCTTGGCTTCTTAATCCACAACCCGCGACTTATAGCGGAGCTCTCGCGCGCGCGAAGCGCTCGCGCAACGGAGCACCATGGGTAACAAAATTTGGTAAACTATCCATCCGATAAAATTTGGTTATGACGTAGCGTACGCCCACCCGTACACACACTTCATGTAAGCCGATGTCAAATGTCACAATAGATCTTGCACACCTTGACTAGCCTCTTAGTTATGTAAGCCATCCATATGAGGACGATTAGATTGACAGCTGTCAAAATGAGACATCTGCTGACAATTATCACATGACCATCTCGCGGGCTCAGATGAAAGGCCAGTCGTTTTGCCCCTACATGTAAGCTGATATGATATGTCACACTTACCAATTCAACATAAAAACGAAACTACGCCGGGCAAGGCTGTCAGTTGGCTGACACTCGTTTAAAGTTATATTGGCAAGCCAAATTAAGGTCAATTGACAGCTGTCAAAATCGGACATGTGCAGACCACTATCAGAAAACTAATAACGTGGGCTCAGGTTCGCCCAGGTACACGATCTGGTATCGACCCACTGAGTTCGAGTGTTTTTTTGAAGGAATCCGCTGACAAGTTGATACTTTTCAAATGATCGCAGGCTCAAGTTCAATTTTTTTAAAATGCATATGAAATAAGTCGTGTTCATGAGCAGCACTTTTAAAATGTTGATTTCGAACTGCCTTCGGACGCGAAATTTCAACCGGCTTTTACATTACATGCAGGGAAGGCAATCGCTTTTGACTTTTCTCACTGTCACGCGTTGATCACGCTCTACGTCCAATTCTTATGTTCTGATTGGTCAAAATTTGACAGGTGAGTTCACGCGGAAAATTTATGCAGCGTCTGGAAACTTGCTTACTGATAGCTGGAGCTGACAGAGTTTTGTCTCATCTTGTGATGTTTTAAACTGTCTTTTTCTACTTGGTGTACAAAAGGAAATACAGCTGCTACAAAGATTGTTCTGTAATTCATGGCTGGTTTGTTTATTGCGCTTTTTTTTTCACAATACACCGCTTGTCAAAGTCATTGGAAATCCGATTTCGGATGGCATCGTTTTCAAAAATGAGCTTACTCACTTGCCCTTGCTTGAGGCGTAAGAGGGTTGAAAAGTCTCAAGCGATTCTGGAACACTTGATGACCTTCAGAAGCAGCATCTCGACTGGTTAGCCTGAGCAATTATTGTCTTTGATGTGTCTTTTTTTTCGGTTTCCTGAAGTCGAGCGTATGGTTTATGCGGCTTAAGTTTATACACGAGCAATGATCTAACCTACAATAGTATCAGGGTTAAAAAGCCTTTATACATTTTTTGACGCAAATTCAAAGAAAAGGTTCCGAAGATTATTTAGTTATGATTTTGGCTGTAAACAGAAAGCTCTGAGCGATTTTCTTGCCTCGAGTTCATCTTGAAAAAGAGCAAACACCGGGAGCCGGCTTAAAAAATAAATAAGCTTATGCGTACCTGACTCACGATTTTCAGCGACACTTTACTCTCAATACTTCTCTTCGTGAATGAAAATTATTGTCTCTGTACATGTTTCACCGAATTATGTCTATTTTATGGATTGTTAGTAGTCTCTCTCGCAATTTTTATCGCTGCACCGGTTGTTTCCAGTCGAACATAAACATCGCATGCGGGAATACTCAAAACGCCGCCTGTAAATATCACTCGCTTTTAAAGATTATAAATAACAAAACCATACACAGTTTACTAAATAAAGGGAAATAAAACCTAAACATAACAATTTCTCTATCACGTTGAAGCGTAAATGGTAACTGTATTAGTCGCACTGCAAATTTGGTGCCTGTCAAAAGTGAGAACCCGTTCGGCTGGCCGAAAAGTGATTTGGGAATTTTCTTTATCGTTTTCATTTAAAGCCCGTAATTATTTCCCTGCATATCACATAGGACCAGATTTTTCTAACTGAAAAGTCCCGGCATTATCTGAGAATTCTCTTCATGACAACGTTTTATAATTCAATGCTATAACTTGTTGTGCAAAGGAAGCGCGTGCTTTGATCGTCGTGGATATTGAATGAGTGCAAATTCTCTTGCAAAATTGTGAAAAACTGCCGAATTATAGGTTTAAATAGGGCAAAAAAGAAAAAATTCTGTCCGAGGTCTGTATGGTAAAAAAGGGCCTCAGAGTACTGTTTACCTGAGACGTGATGAGAAAAAGCATGTTTATAAGGCTGGTTTACACGCCACCAGATTCGTCGCCAAGATTTACTAGTAAACTAAACTTGTCGAACACAAAAAATCCGGCCTGATTTTTTATTTTGGCCTCTCTTTTAGACAGAGGAATGCAACGTGTAAATTGGCTGCCACCAAGGACTATCGTGGGGCGTGTGTTTCTTAAAATTATATTTCGGGGTTGTCCAATTATCCATAGTCTCTCTAACGGAGCAATGTTGGAGAGACTGGTGAATGCCACATTATGATGCAACAGCTAATGCAAATACAATACATGAATAGGTCTATTTGTTTTCCAGGCCTAATCTACTGTGATCGAACATGATTGCTATCTTGGGTGTACAAATAAGACTATTTAATAACTCGATGTAAAATTTGTTTCACTCTTGGACTGTCAAATTATTTTTCTCTAAAATCACTTAGCCTTTGCCTCAAAAGTCAAATGAATGTGCCCTGATCTGTGGATTGCAAGTTTATTGTTTGATTTAAATTATGAATTTATAAACGAGAGCTTCGCTTTTACCCCTGGCTAAATATATATATTAAAAAGCAAGAGAATTAGTACTCCGTTTGCAACCTCGCCTCCAGGCCAATTCACGCCATCCGAGTGAGCGGAGACGACTTTGTACCGACATCGAAAACTTCCCGATGACGACTTGGAACAAGGCTGCTACGTTATTAGACGGCCTGTCTAATTACATATCTCTGAAGAGCGAGATAGCGGGTTCGATCCTTGGGGCCGAAGCCATAAAATTCCGAAAATAAGCCCCGGGGCTTATATTTTTCAAAGGCCTTTTTTGAGGGGCTTATATTCGGAGGGGCTTATCTACGGAGAGAAATTTGCGTTTCAAAATCGATTGGGCTAGCCTTATAGTTGGAAGGAAATTTCCCGTTTTTGCTTTGCTTTACTTTGTTTTTGAGGGCAATTTCCAAGTACGAGCCCCCCGGGGGGCTTATATTTGGAGGGGCTTATTTTTGGAATTTTACGGTATACTTTATGGAATGGAAAAAGTTTAAACCTCAGGTCAGTTTACGTTAAAAGATGAGGGAAGGCCTAGGGTCATCTGTTATAGATGTCTCAGTTATGAAAGACAGTTTTTCCAAATTTTGACGGGTCGGTGACTCGGTGGCGGGGTAGTATAGCGGTATTATTAAAAGGAAGTGAGATCAGTGTAGGAGGAGGGCCCAGGTTCAATCTGGATTGTGCGACCGTTTATGAAAGAAAATCTGCGACGCTTAAACACTGCTCAAGGTCTTAAAATAATTTATCCGAAATTTAGGAAGAAGGAACCGGTTGATTGCCTTTGCTCTGCAACTGAATGTCGATACCCAGTCCGCGGAAGGGACGTGCCCACATGTCCGAAAAATTGTAATATATTAACACTAAAAAAGTCATTTTTAAACTACAGGTCTCCTTTTAAGATTATAAGCTGTTTGCAAAGGTAATCAGACTTACCTCCTGAGCCAGTGAGAAAATTCCATAATCTCGAGAACAAACCTAAAACACGAGAGGAAGCTTAGTAAAAATACTGCACGTCCCTGTTAATATGATTGCGGAACTCAGTTTAACTAATGCACTATTGGCACCAAAGCTGCCACGAAAAAGAAAACAACAGATTTATTGGACTTAACTTTATTCACAACCTTCGCCTTGACCATAACACACCTTGTTTATCCCCCGAATTCTACATAATAATTGTTTTCAAATCTTTTAGGAGTAACTTGGAGAGATTGAAAACATTCCTTACGCAACACGTTGAAGGCCAAAACTGATGTATTACGGGCAATGCTGGAATAGAGAATGTAACAACAAATCTTTCAGTTTTCTGTTAATGATTTTCATTTTGGTTTAATTAAACCTGTATTGTTTGTGTGATTAGGGTATAAGCATAGACCTATTCGGCTAACTCAATGTTGTACCCAATTCAGACCCTTTGGGAATAAAACTTTTTGTTTCAAGAATTTCCATACATTTAAATGAGAATGCCACATTATAATGCAAATACAATTTTACAAAGAATCTTAACCCCAGGAGATTTGAATTGGGTACAACATTGAGTTAGCCGAATAGGTTTATTAGCGGTGCTCTTGTTTACATGGGCGCGCCTGTGATTTAGGGGCAGAGTTTATGTCCTCACAGGCTCTTCCCTCATCTCTTCCTACCGTGTTCAGTTTTCGTCCGTTCGCTACACTAAAACGCCGGGAAGAAGAACCTAGGATTTAAGAACCTGCTGGCAGAAATTTGTCATTTGAATACTCCAAAATATAAGAACCAGTTTAGCCAAGAAAAATCAACAGCTTCTTGTTTGTGGGGTTAGACTACATTTTCATGAACATTTTGACATTACGTTTTATATTACGTTACATAATAAATGTGTAAGGTATACAACCATTGTCGAAAACTGCATATCTTCTAGCTGTTAACCAAGTTTTGTTAGATTTTTGGTAAATAAATGCATATTATGAAGGACAAATACCATTTATAGCAATTTCTTGTAATCAACAACAGTATCCTTCTTCATAAAAATTAAGAACCTATTTAGCCTAAACTTCCAATAAGTACTCCAAACTATAAGAATGTATTTTTTCGCTCGTCCGCATTGAACGAAAGCCTGAAACATAGAGGATATTACATGGCCGCGCGGAGATACGAAATTTCTCTTCGAGTGTTGAAAAATATTAGCCTTTGTTATATAAACACCAATGAAATACCAAACCATTTCACTTTAATAGTTTCTTGGTGTGAAAGGCGGGATTTATTATGTAGCCATAGCAACGGTGATATTTTCACATGTGAATATAACATGTTATTTTCACATGTGAAGATATCAAGTTTCCGCGCGAAAGCTCACCTTGTATTTCATTGGTGTTTATATAATAAATGCTAAAATTTTCTTTTGTTAAGATTATTCATTTTCCGCCAGCAATTGTAAATTCTAAATAAAAAGTTAAGACTATTTGTGACGCATGGGTGCGGTGCGGCTGTTTTTCCGATAAAACCAATATTGCTTTTAGACTTCCTTATTAGTATATTACGTGGTTCCTCCAGAAGCCGTTATTCGATCAAGGACATCCAGTATTTCCTCAAAACCCTTCGTCATACCAGCTGCACATTTACATCTACATGTATGCACCGAGCTGTGACTGGATTAACTCTTATGCAAACTGATCGACAGCTTTATTTTTTGCAATTTTATTGTCAGGAGTTATCAGAACGCAAAATTCTTAAGTGATCAAAGGCGTTCAGTGCAGTAAACGAATATGTTGGTACCTTTTGGGGTATGATAAAAGTTTGCAATAACGGAAAGACAAACCAACGACGAATTCAACGACAACATAATTACATGTAAATTAGTACTCACAAGCCATGTGTATTTCGTACACCTATAAAAAATTTAACTGGTGGTAACTCATATGCGATTTAGAAGTTGTATAACACCGTTACAGTCAATAAACGAACGAAAATGAAAGGCATTAATTCAGCCTGAAATGAGAGAATTAAGAATATTTCAGTGGATTTTATACACAGCAAATGCGGTCTTTAGATAACATCCCACGCAGGCGAACATCTGCGAGGGAGGCTATTAAAACTACGGGTAACAGCAGGCAACTGCAGAAGGAGTATTCCGAACGGCCGCCGAACGCCAAATGACTCCAACTTTAGGGGCTAGGATGGAAACTGAGAGAGTCTAGTTCCAGTACTGGTCTTTATACAGGGCAAACTGAAGCGGAACTTGACTCACTTAACTTCGTCGCCCTAATCACTAAGACTTCTTGGGTCATAAGGCGTTTTGCGCAATTTCCCTGCAAATCTGAACGAAAGCGCTGATAACTGCTACATACCTTTCGAGTTTTGCGTTTTTCCACCACTTTTGTCGGCCAAGTTAACGATAGAAACTGGCTTCGAAAGTAAAACATGATAGTCATCGCCGGCCTTTCTGCCAATTTTCCGGTACTGAGCTGAAACGATACCCTCACCTTCCACGCGAAGAACGTTGTTTTCAAAGCTTGAAAAGCTTCTTCCTTTACAACGTAACTCGCCAAGGTCTTCTACAAATTTAAGTACGCTTTCGTGATACGGGTCTAGAACTGGAAGCCTACAAGCAACGAAGCTCCTGTTGTCCACATTTTTAACGTATTTAAAGCGAAGAGTTTTTTTAAACGGAGCGGAGGGTCGAAGAAGTGCCAATACGGCGATTCCAATCACGCAAACAAGGGCGAACACAATTCGAAGACTGTGTGGTTCAATTCTACATGGAAATCTAACACACTTTATCATCATAACCAATCAAATCTAGAGGCAGCGTTACACAGCACAATTCTTTGTATACCTCGTCTCCGAATAGCTCAGTTTGGGAGTTCAATGCAGTGGAAAATCACAACCGTGACAACCGTTACGCAAATAATGCGCATGCACGCGTGTGCTGTGCGTTCCACGCGCGATAAGTTGCGCGATGGACCAGTAAAAGCTTGCGGGTGTTGCCACCCTATTACAAAAACTTGCCCAATCAGGAATGGTCAAAATTCCGCTCACTTTTGATACTATCTTTAGCAAAACAACTTCAGTGAATCGCTATTCACGTGTCAGAATGTAGATTTTTTTGCCCGCACAGACGGGTATCCTTTTTTATAATTTGCTCATAAAGTTGTTCTCTGGGTGATGCAACGGCGGGGTTACTTTGTAAGTGAACAAAAGGTAGAATTTTTTTCAAACTTTATTGTTTTGTAGTAAAGCCGACTTCCGTTCAGCAAATTTAACCTCCGAGGTAATTTTTTTTCAATGAGATTGTGAGGGTAGCCTCTAGTACGAACGCTTATGAGTTAACTGAGTACTTTGTTTTAAAACTGTAAGCTCTTCACCTTTCGTGAGAACCTTCTGATTTCATTCTTTCTGGAGCTAAGTAAAGCGCGAAATTTCTCAAGGTCTAAAGTGCACTTCCCATGGGGGGGGGGGGGGCTAGGTGGACAAGATGGTGCCTCAATACGCCCAAATGGACGTATTCGAAAAAAGAGCATGCGAGTTAATTAGATGCCAAGGTATAAATGATAACAAAATAATGTTCTTCTCCAACTGCAGCACCGTTTATGTCAAGTGTTTTTGAAAGAAATTGTCGGGGTTTTTCCCAAAGAGCGAGAAAGACAGCTTAACATTATTGTTTGGATTTTCAATTTACATCGATCCTTGCGTCGACAAGCATCCACCAGGCGATCTTAGTCGTCCATCGCGGCGAGTTCCCACTCCACTCTCGTTACCATTCTTCTTCTTTGTCCAGCTGAATCTTTCAAAAGACATATAATTTGATCGGCTGGATTAGTTGCCCGACTGGAAGGCAATACTCAATTTCCACTGCATTTGGAAAAAGCTCGCATTAACAGAATGTGGGCTATCTCGCCAATACACCAATGAAAAACGTTCCTACTGAGGATTCTAATAACAATAGCAATATTTACGTGCACCAGGGTATAAATCTTGAAGACAGAAGATCTGGTCTTTATAGGCGTCCAAACGACTGATTTCACCAACAAGTGAAGGACTACCTTTTTTCATTCTAACTGATGCCTCGTAAAATCCATCATTTGGAAATGTGACTAATTGTAACTGATAGAGAGTATCCGAAACAAGCGTGTTCTTTGATTTGCCTCCATACTCAAGTCCGCAGGAATCGCATATCTCGTCACGTTTAGATTTCTCGAAAAATTGTAGTGTCTCACTAGGCATGTCACGGAAAGCGCTTCTCACGTCTTTCAAAACAAGCTTTTGACACAGTTTTGCTACTTTGGGGTTTTGTGAAAGCAATTTATTCATATGAATCACTACAAACTCCGCCAATTGCCCAACAACAGGTTCATTCACCGAAATTTCCTCTAAATTAAGACAAGGACACCAGTGTTCCTCAACACCTGCAACGGCGCACGTGCGATTTCCCTCGTCAATCCGGTTAAACAGGCTTTGACCGGTTGTAATCCCACTTGGATACTCGGGGTACGTGGTTATGTGACGAAGGGTGGCGTACAGATCAAACGGTGTAGTAAGAACACCTGAATTATGTACAAGGTTGTTATAGAGCTTCGGGTACTGTTCTGGAAACCATTTTGGTGTTGTGATTGATAGAAATGGAAGCCGTTCCTCAAGTTTTCCTTGGATGGTCTGCCTTGCTTTTGAATAGCGTGATCCGTGGTCTCCAAAAATGACAAGAAACGTGTTGTTAAGGAATGATTCCTTATTCATCTGTTGCAGAAAATTCTTGAAATCATCATCGGCATAGCCAATACTATTTAAACTGTCATGTGATATCACAGCATGTGTGACTAAGGAGAATTTTGGCATGTTCTTGTAAGCTCGGAAATAACTCAACAGATATTCAAACGAAACTTTATGAGAAGCTCTACTGTTGATGCAATATTCCGTCCATCCCAGATCCTCCGCTACCATCCAGAATGGTCGTGCAAAATGATCTGTTGGGGGATCTTTGAAGCCCTTCAGGCGATAATTGAACGAAGCTAAATGAGGTGAGTCTTCCGAGAACATTGTTACATATCCCTTTTTCTTGAAATCCTTGAATATCCATCGCCATATGTCAACAGGGCTGGCTGCATTTCCCATATCTTTCCTCGCCTCCGGTTGATCTTTTTCTGCAATTCCAGTCAAAAGAGCGGCTAGCTGAGCTGTGGTACCATCCCCAACAATTGTTTGACCTTTAAATTTGTAAAACAGCGCACTACATTACAATTGTCATGACAATTTGTAGACACAATAAGCACGAAATAATCATTATGTATCAACTAATGACCTAGCACCAGCAGCAAAATCCGCACCAGCGGGCGCCTGCAGCAGCAGCAGCAAAATTCCCAGTAACTGCACCAGCACTATCATTAACAGTATATAAACTCGCAAAAATATCAGAAATATCAGCATCAAAAACAGTACCTCCATCAGACGCAGCAACAACACCAGCATCAACAGCAGAAACAACACCATTATGATCAGTAGCAGCAGCAGTAGCGGACGAGTAGCAGCAGTTGTAGTGTTAGTAGCAGTAGCAGCAGAATTAGCAGTAGCGGCAGCAACAGCAGCAGAAGAGTATAGAGTTGCTGCAGCAGTAGTGCCAGTAGTAATCGTAGTAACAGCAACAGAAGTAATAGCAGTAGCAATAGCAGCAGTGGTAGTAGTGCTAGTGGAAGTAGCAGCAGCTGAGCAGCAACCGCTCGTAATGGGAAACGGGTAATGGGCTCTTAGAGAGTGTGGTAGTTATAAAACAATATATGAATCTGCAGAAACTCTGGTAGTTTTCGCATTTGCTTCTTCTTTAAGTTTAGCTGAACCTCTGCATCCGGGTACATCCACATGATACCAAAACCCTGCAGCTGTCATGAGATATGTATATATTTCTCGTATCCATCCTAGTTAAGTATTTCCAGCACAATTAAACCCCGTTACTATCCCTATGGAGGTTAATGTCGTAGAAAATATCCTCACCTCGCATCAACAATGAATTCAGATCATCTGTCAAATATTCCAAGCTGTTTGGCATTTTTCTCCTAAAGTTAGCCGCTGACGTGGAGTCGAACATAATCAGCGCAATATTCAGCGGAATACCACCAGGTTTCTGCTGCCTTTCAAGCACCTCCTTTTTTGGAAACACGTGCATGTGCACGTCACTCTTCGTCTGACCCCATGACGTCAAGGCATCGACTTGAATGAAGTCATGTTCCACCTTTATGTTCTTACTCAAAAATTTACCTGCAACTGAAGAGCCAAAAGCTTTTTTCTGAATCTGTCTTAAAAGCTGCCTGCAAAAGTTATAACTAAACTTGTCTGGTGAAGATGACAATTTTTCCAGGCAAAATCTCCAGTCATTTTGACCGGTTACTTACAGTGGTTTTCACTTGAATAAAGAATAAAGAATACACTTTTTCCACCGCGTTCAACGAAAAATTGTTTTAGCTTTATCAGCACAAATACAGAGTAGGTTGGTGACAATCTCATTACTAAAAGACAGATAGTGGATCTTTTGTAGTTTCTTTAGATGCTAGGCATTTCCTTACCTGTAATGTATTTTTAGTTTTCCTTTTATTACACTGTATGCAACTGACCGTTAGACTAAAACTACCTTCTGTAACTATTATTATTCTAAAGCGAAATGTAAATAAAGCTGTTGCCACAGAATGGAACTTCTGATCAACCTTTTTCACTCATGTTCCTTTGTTCTAAAAGATTCATTCCCCGCTAACCATCTTCTTTACGCTCTGCATTTACGTATTCCCACTTGTGATGACAAAACCCTTAGGGAACCCCCTTAAAAAATAACGGCGGTGCTCATCATGCCTATTGCTGGTTTTCACTGTCAAGTCATCGAACACAAAAATCAAAACCGTTCAATAAATTAAGTCCAGAATCTGGGAAATGAAAGAAGGTAAACATACAAAGAACCTCGCCAAGGTTCAGCTCGATGTAACTTTTCATTTGCAAGATATTCGGAGAAATGTTATACCTGAATTTATAGAGCTTAGTATGGAGACGCCACGTTGGTTTCCCTCTGAGGGGCACCAACATGGCGGCCGGAAACTAACAGAAACGTCTATTACCTAGTTTTGCTACGAAAGCATTAATTCAATCCTCGAGGAACTCATAAACATTTAAGTATGACTTTTTTCTAATAAAAGGACTGTTCAGATAACAAAATCCTCCAAAACAAGTCACTTTTTAACTAATATGACAGGTTAGAAATTCAAGCGTACTCTATCCCAAAACAAAGAACCCTTTCGAAGGGAGAATTTGTAACGGATATAGGTTTTAAGCTGTTCTGACGCTTCATGAAAGTAAAAGCTCAGGAGATCGATAATTCTTTACTTGTGAACTGTGGTGACGTCATGTGAAAACCATTTAAAGTTTCATCTCACGAACTGGTACCGTTTAGGGTGAAAAGGTCTAAAATTTACCGCAGTTAGAGTTGTCGCGGTACCTTTCAGACTTCTTACGATATTAGGACTAATATAAACGGAACTTTTAGTTAGTCATCTGAATAGTCTTTATCGCTAATGAAAATGTACCAAAATAACGGAGGAGGAAATTTACGCCAAGCCAACAAAACAAGATTCTTGGGCATTTCAGGGGTATTTTTGAATTTTTTTCTACGAGTGCAACACAATTTTAAAAGGGCAGAAAACGCGAAAAATCAACTCCTGTTCTGCAGGCTAAGAGAACGCCTGTTTACTAGGGAAGGGATACTAAGACCTTATTCACACTTATCCACACGTATCTGAATATTTTTAAAAGGAGGATTTCTTTTGTGTATTAAAAAGACGCGCCCTCACAGGTAGCGTATTCGAATCGTTTTGGTCCTTCCAAATGAAGAAGCTAAAACGATGGGCATACGATAGCATCCCTTGCAGAGCATGCGCTGAATGATGTATGACATCATCGTCGGCGGGCAACCTCTGTTTTCGTCCGTCCACAAGAGTGACTCCAAAGACTCGTGAAAACAACAAACAAATTTCCAATCACTACTGTGATCAGAATCTCATACTCCCTGAAGAAAATGTGAGGGTCCTTGGAATAAAGAAATTGACCAGAACTGGTAACACTCTTCTCGTTTTAGCGGAGCACCGTGGGTAAAAGAAAATGATTATTACTGCGTCCAGGAAATTTTGGTTCTGACACAATCGTCCGTAAGTACGTACGTATGTTCACCTTTCATTTAAGCGGAAGTGAAGTGTCTTCCTTACGACTACCTATAAAGTCCAAGGCACATGCAAATAGGACAATTGCACGACGACGATATTTGACTACAACTACCAGAATTCATTTCGGTTTTGCTTTGTTATTTAAATTTGTCAATCCCGCTGATGATTAATGAACAATAGCCTTAATTTGCACAAGAAAACAACAAACTCAACGATTCTGGTATTGTAGTAAAATGACGTCATCGTGCAATTGTCCTATTGTGTTTAACTTGATACATGGACATCCATGGTATGATCAATTGACAGCTGTCAAAATAGGGTACCTGCTGACCAGCGTCACCTGACTGTATCGTGACAACTCATTGAGGTGGCGTGCTTTTTAAAGTTCTCCGCTGATCAGTTATGGTATTCAAGTCATCGCAGACTAAAAAAACTTTTCTTTAGAAAGATAGTTCTTAAAAGACTAAAAGTAACCTTGAGCTCTTAGCTAAATCTATACATTACTGAATTTATGTATGATATACTGCTATAGTAGATCTAACTCCCACCCCACCTCTGTAACATAAAAGAAGCTGTACTAACCTTTGGAACCTGCAAAAAAATTCCACAATCTCGCGAAGAAACCTATAAATTTGAAAGAAAGTATGGTTACCACAAAATGAAGAAAACCTTATCATAATGCGAAACAGCCACAATAGCTCGATAGGCGTTTTTATTTGCATTACATTTAGACTGGGTGCTCGTTCGTTTGCTTTTGATTGATTGATGGCACAGTTTCAATAGGGCAACCTGCTGAAATAATCAATCATAATTAACCCTGACTCAATGAAACATCCCCGTGGCGGGTTGTTTTATAAGAAATCCAAACAATCTTTTTCTCGAATGAACTATCGCGCCAAACGAAACTTAAATCATTCTCGTGTACATCCTTGAACTCTCTTTCAGCATAATTTTCAGAAAAATAATAAGACAATCAGCAAAGAACTAATTCTATGTAAATTTAGCTCCAAAACAAAGAAAACGAAAACAGAGAAAATATTAAATCTTCCGTGTACAAATCAACGATGCTGAAAAACCTTGATAAAGTTTAAAGTATTTTCGATCGATATGAAACGTTTATGTAGCTCGGATATTCTGAAATAAACTATTTACTCTGCTCTCTGCCGACTTTTGGGGGTGTGGGTTCACATCTTTTATAACCAATTCCTGTTTTCAGGTTTTCGTTTTAAGACCCTTTCCATGCCAGGCAGGAAATCTTAAAAAACGAGCAACAAAAGGAAATAACACGCGATAGGCATGTTTAGAGCTTTAATGTTATCTGAGTACTCGCTGAAACACTGCTGAAATGCGATTTTCTCCCGCGTCTTGATCTACTTCAGTTCTTCCATGCAGATGTATCTTCTTCGACTTCTTGTAATTATCTGGGTTTGGAGAGTAACAATTGTCTCCCAGCCCTTTAATTTGACGATTGTTGCACAGAACTCAAAGACGTGTTGTCAGTACTGTACTTCTTTGCCATCTTTTCTGGTGTTTTTTAGGGAAACTGATGGTTCCATGGCAGACTCTTTGAAAATGTGCGACTACCATCTCGGAACCATCGAACTTGAAAACGGGAGGTTCTAACGTAGTTAGGTTGGTATATAATTGTGTGTTTCGAACTTGACGAATTCTGATTGATCTCGATTCGCTCCGACAGTCTGATTACATTATTCATTGTCTCGACAGTGTCTGATATCGCTCGGAATATTGACTTTCAATACTGGCGTGTTACGAGACATTTCATAAGTGTATTAAACTGCACACTTAAGTCAATTCAAATTATGTCAACTCAAGATACTAGTTCAGCTCCGTGACCCTCGGATAGGGACGGTACTATAAAGAAAAAAGATGACTCAATACCCGGTGAATATCATGAATTAGTCCGCTAGCATGCGTAGACTCCCGTGACTCGGTTCAGAGAGTCCGGCTTGATTATCGTTTTCAGTTTCCAAGGCCCTAGTGTGACTAGGACGATGTTTGAAAATAAATTGAAGATTTGCTAGCATCTAGCACTTTTTAACAACATTTTTATCTTGCTTATTAGTGTGGACCTTTCGCTGATGGGATTTCAAAATTACGACTTTCCGTTTTTCCTCAATGGCTTCCCGCTCCTTTCAGTTGATACACAATGTTGATACAGCCTCAAAAATGAAACATCGTGTCAACGAACTGCAAATTATATATGTCTTCCCAACCAAAAAAATGCCCCCCAATTTAAAGGTCGTAGGCAGAACTGAAGAAACACTCTAGGTCGTAGCATTTTAACAAACAAAGCATAAGCTTAGATATTCTTTCAGAATTATAATGGACAATGACTCGAAGTGTCTAGCGTGAAAAGGAACACCCACCCATACAAAATGATATTAAAATGATATTAAAACCGTGGCAGCTAACTGAGCTAATCGTACCTCTAGAATGTTGCTCATATTGTACCGCTTTTTCAGCACTGTTGTCGGCGATGTTTGAAATGGGGACTGGCTCTGAACGCAAAATGTTGAAATCATCGCCAGGTGGTCGACCAATTATCCTATACTGCGCCGAAACAATTCCCTCTCCTTCAACGCGAAGCACATTGTTGTCAAAGCTAGAAAAGCTTTTTCCTTCACACTGAAGCTTCCCTAGGTCTTCAATAAATTGTAGTATACTCTCGTGAAATGGGTCAAGTTGAGCAAGTCTGCAAGCGACGCTCCTGTTCCCAACATGTGAAACGTATTTGAAGCGAAGTGTTTTTTTGAACGATGGATGATGTGCACGCGTGCTCGGTATCCTTGATTTTCGAAACAAAGGTAAGAAGATTACCATCGCACACACGAAAGTAGTAGTCACAAACAATATACGAATACGGTGTAATCGAAATATGAACGGAAGTTTAAAAACATTCATGGCTATAATTTCAAATAACTGAAACTTTTCAAACGGTAGAAACCGCAATTCTTCGCTCGAAAGCCTGATGTCGTGGCTTTCCCTAGCAACTAAAATATGACTGACAGCACCTACCTTAACGACACGAAAATCCAGTGGAGCGAGTCGACTGCAAGTGAAGCTAGAGTCGGGAATAAAACGTGGTTCAGGTGGTTCCGAAAGTGCCATGAAACTTTAATCGACATCTTTGTAGCAGGGTAAATGGGAGTCGGCTTTGAGCATAACGTTGCTTTTAATAAATCTTCGTAAAAAGGCAATCCCTTTTGCAAGTAACTATAAAGATGACTAAAAAATGTATTTTTTGGTTTTGGAAGGAGAACCAACGTAACAAAATAGAAGTACCGGATCCTAATAGAGGCATGATCCAATCAGCCATGAAATATAGTTTAAAACGCAAAACAAGATATTCCTTACTGTTAGCTTCGTCAGTCGTCTTTTACGTGGTCCGAGCTCCCCCAGGGGAGGTGGTGGCGGGGGTAATGAGATACCTGTTTCTCCTTAGGTTCCTAAATTTTCTCAGTCCTCTTCCTAAAAAAGTCCAGAGTTCCCATTGAAAAAATCCCGTAAAAAAAGACAAAACATCCACACAAGATTTTTTCTCTATGGCGTAAGCGCTCGTCCCCTAAATCCGGGGACTTTTATTTGAAACTGTCAATCTTCCCGCGCGTAACGTAATTTCCGGTAAAAATGCACTTCCGGTTCGCTCTTACAAACAATTCTTTTAGAAAAAAGGCACAAGAAATAATCCTTAACATTTTCCCCCTCCTAGATTTACATTTGACTGAAAATCCAACACTTCAATCGATCTCTTTTACAAACATAACGCAAATTGTTCAAATGTTCCAATAACTGTTCAAATGTTAAAATTCAAATGTTCAAATGTCAAATGTTAAATGTTCAATCTGTCAGATTTAGAATTAAATTCTCTGACTAAACAAATCATGAACTGTTCAACTGTTCCTACAAGTGTTCATGATGCAAATCTTTACGACCATAGCTAGTTAGTTCACTATTCCGTCCGGTCACTTAGTAATCTTCAAATTCCAACGGTGAAATTCTGGAAATTGGTCTTCGTTTCACCCCTCCTTTGGTTCTAACGTCTACGACTCGTACTAGTCCATCTTTACCAGGATGCACTGCCTCTATTCGTCCAAGCTTCCAATCCCGTCTTGGTGCGTCTGGATCAATTACCAACACCACGTCTCCCACTGTTAGATTCTTTGAAGGTTGGAACCACTTTTGCCGGGATCCAATACTTGGCAAATACTCTCTCATACAACGACTCCATACTCTACGAATCAGTTCCTGTATTCGTCTCCATCGTCTAAGCACACTGACTGCCGTCGTATCGACTGTGTCTGGGGCTAGCTCTCCACCCATTTGGCCAATTAAGAAATGGTTTGGGGTCAGCACAGGCTCCTCATTGACATCTCCACTAACTGTAGTTAAAGGCCTCGAATTTAACAAACTTTCGGCTCCAGTAAACACGGTTTGTAATTCTTCATCATTGACATCAGCTTCGTTCAAAATTGCATAAATTACCCTCTTGGCTGACTTGATCATTCTTTCGAAGACACCGCCAAAGTGTGGCGCTTCCGGTGGGTTAAACTGCCACTCAATTCCTTGGTTGGAAGTAAGCCTTTGAATTTTGTCTTGGTCTATGCTATCCACTAACTCCTTGATTTCTCGTGCTGCTCCGACGAAATTACTTCCATTGTCACTGAGCATCAACTTAGGCCACCCTCGTCTAGCCACCATACGCGTCAGCGCATTTAAGAAAGCATCCGTCTCCAGGGAAGCAGCCATTTCCAAATGACAACAGTGTGTCTGTAAACACACAAATAAGCAAAGGTAGCGCTTCACTCGTGGTCTACCTCGTCCTTGCATCGTGTAGAATGGTCCTGCAAAATCTGTCGCTCAATTTACAAATGGTTTCTGAGTCATCTCTAATCGAATTCTAGGTAATGGTGCCATTTGTTGTCGTGCTGGACAGTCCCTGAATCTTCGGTTACATTCCGCACATTCCTTGATACATTTCTTCACTTGTTGTCGTCCTTGAATCACAAAGTACTTCTGTCGTAAATGGTTTAATGTAAAGTTCACTCCCATCTCGTGACCTTCCCTCTCATGGTGATACTTCACGATTAACTTGGTAACGATGTGATTCTTTGGAAGGATGATTGGAAACTTCGTCTCTTCTGGCAAATCATCTGAATATCGCAGTCGCGTGTTTGATCGAAGGAGTCCCCCACAGAACTTTGGTGTAATCTTTAGTAACGTACTCTTGCTAGGGAGAGGCTTTTTGTTTTCAAGTGCTCTTATCTCGTCAGGAAAGCACGTTTGCTGAGCCGCCCTGATGATTTGCTCTTCTGCTTGATTAAGTTCCCTTGGGTTCAACTCCCCACTTTCTCGATCGTTTTGAGGCTTTTTGACATTTGCAAAGAATCGATTAATCCAACCAGTCACCCGCACCAAAGACATTCCGATCTCACGCTTTCCTTTTGGCTTGGTTCTGTACCATTTTGAATACACCATTGGGTCTGGTGTGCTCTTTGGTTGGACTGTTTCCACGTAATAGCTCTGTGCATTCATGCTTGGCTCCTTTTGCACGAGCTGTTCTCGTTTCTCTGATTTAAGTTCTTTGTAAGCTTCTGGGGCTTTTCCAAATTTCCTCTCTGGCCACTCATCTTCTCTACGTTTTAGAAACGGGGGTCCATACCACCAGCAGTCATCCTTAACTAACTCTTGAACTGAAGCTCCTCGAGTCCCTTGATCCGCAGGGTTGAGTTTCGTAGGAAAGTACCGCCATTGGTCTGGACTGCTCTCGTCATGAATTTCCCCAACCCGGTGGGATACAAAAGGTTTAAAATTTCGATTCTGTCCACCCAAAATGTGGCCTTGTTCCTAGGAAGCTCCAGTGCTGCACATATCTTCAATGTCAGTCGGAGACCAGTCAGTGCTCCCATGAGTTCTAACCGCGGAATGCTCATGGCCTTCAATGGCGCCAACCTTGACTTTGCTGCGACTAATCTTGTGCTAACTGTTCCATCTTCATACTCATGGCGAACGTACGTTGCTGCGGCATAAGCCTTCTCAGACGCGTCACTGAACGTGTGAATAGTAACATCTCGGAGTTCCTTGTCTTCCTTCAGAAATCGGACGGCACCAAGTTCTCCAAGTTCCCCGAACCATCTTTTCCATTCCATTTTAAAATGATCTGGCAATTCTTCATCCCATCCGAGAGCTTCAATCCAAGCTTCCTGCATCAGCATTTTAGCTTGCACTACGAAGGGCGTCAGAAATCCAAAGGGGTCATAAATTGAGGCCGTTTTCTTCAGCACGTTCCTCTTTGTTAATACCAACTCGTCTGCGGGTGGAACAAAGGAAAATGAGAACTTGTCTTCCTGAACAATCCACACGACTCCCAAGGTCTTCGTCACTGGAAATTCTTTCTTTTCGAGATCCACTTTAGTTGCTCGATCAGCTTCTGGTATGTCCATGATAACTTCAGGCTTCTGAGAGATCCATTGCGAATGTGAAATCCTGCTTTATCTCCAAGCTCGGTTAACTGCTGTCGCATCTCCTTTGCTGTTTCCACCGTTTCCACTGAAGGCATCAGGTCATCCATATAACAACTGTTCTTCAACGCTTCAGCTGCTAGAGGATACTCTGCTCTGTGATCATCCGCATGCTTCTGCCACACATACTGCGCACAAAAAGGACAGTAACACCCTCCGAACACATATCTCAAGAATTCGTAAACTTTTGGCTCCTTGCTCTGATCCATATTTCTCCATAGAAACCTGTGTAGTGGCCTGTCTTCAAGAGTAAGGGCAAGCTTATGATACATTTGACTTACGTCACCCACCAGGGCAACCAGTTCCTTTCGAAATCTGACTAGAATGCTAAACATGTCCGCTTGCAATTTCGGTCCCGGTAACGCTTCGCTGTTCAAACTCTTTCCTTGGAACTTAGCTGACGCATCAAATACAATCCTCGTTTTCTTTGTAGTCCTGTCAGCACGCACAACGGGAAAATGGGGAAGTAACCATTCTTCAGTGGGTGTCGGCTAATCTGGCTGCACTCGGCGGATGTAATTCTTCTCCAAATATACTTCAATGACTTTCTGATAGGACTCTGCTATTTCTGGATTCTTTGCCAATTTTCGCTCTGTGGACTCCAAGCGCTTCTCAGCTAACGGCCTGTTGTTTGGAAGGCTTGGTCGCTCATTCCGCCAAGGAACAGCTACTACGTAATGATCATTCTCGAACTTGATTGACTTGCTCACTTTATGCCTGGCTGCTGTTTCATCAGTAGTCATAACCGGTTTAGGAGGTGTAATTCCCATGGTTTCCAGGTCCCAGAATCTCTTCAACAACGCATTCAAATCATCTGACTGTTCCACTGTCGGTGCCACTTCTCCAAACTGTTGCATGCGAAAAGTATGACACAAACTGGTGTTGTGATCTGCTCCTGTGTTCTCCATATTTATCCTCCCCACTGCCGTCCACCCGAGAGGACAAAGTCGTGCACATGGCTCCTCGGCTCCACCAATCACTTCTCTCTTGGGGTACATCAATTGATAGTTATCAGTTCCGAGCAACACATCAATCTTTCCCCGATTCGCAAGCTTTGGGAATGGAATGTCCTGCAAATGGTTCCAATTGCCCTTAATCCTAACCCAGTCAACTGCTTTCATCCCACCGCAGATTTGTTCAGAAGACTGTGCTACAATCGTAGCGTCCACACTACCGTCAACACTCTCTAATCCAATAGTGAATGTCATGGATGGAAAACGAACTTCCTGATCATTAGCCACGTTCACAGTTATCAACTCTTTCTCCCCTTTGACTCCGAGCTCCTCAACTACATCTTCATTA